TCTGGCTTCGTGATTCCGGCGGCGGCCCAAGCTCACCCCGGCGTCAGGAGACGCTCGCGGTCCGTCCACTCTAGAGGGCCTTTTAAGGTCGCTCGACTTCCTCCAATAGGGGGACTTATTTTGCACCAACAGACAATTTAATAACACTTAAAAGAAAAAGTGTTTTTTTAAAAACGGATTTTATTTTAAACCTCAATCTAGCCTTTCTCTTGTTTCCAAGGGGTTGGGTGATGAATTCCTTTTGGTGGGAAGGGCTGTTTGGAGCCCTAAAAGTGGCCTATCCCTGCAGTATTGTATCATTTTGTTCTCGTTCTAAATTGACCAAAAAAAGCCGGAATGGTGGGGATGGAAAGAATGCCGTTAAGATGAAAATTAAAAAATTAAAATACCAGTTTCCCTTAGAGGTTTGAAAATGTGGAGAAGGAAGAGGGTGTAAATATTTTCTCAGGAGCTAAATTTTCACTTGATGGCTTGAGTATTTAGTGAAAATGCAATGAAGACTGATCACTGCATCTGGGACTTGTTGGGTGGAGTAGACAAGACAGAGGGCAGACATCTCTCTGATCAGGACAGACCTTATGACTAAGTCTGTGGCAGACTCGGAAGCAAGTTAAAATAGGCAAGATAGAGAAAGAAGCCTAGTGGGTTATAGACGTGTTCATTTTTGAAGAAGCTTCCCGTGATACAGTTACAGAGGCCTGTTGCTGCAAAGGAATCTTTTTATGTTATCACTTCTATCTCCTCTCCTCCTATCACTTTTGTCCTGAGTTTCCCTGCTTCTATATCCAACATTTTTGTTTTCTCTTCCAATCCTTTTCCTGATACTCAGCTCAAACTGTAAATGGAGTCTTTTCTAATTTAAATGGCATCTTTTTCTAATTTTCTACTTCTCATTCCTTTTTTTCTGTCTTTCTTTTTCATGTCCGTCTTTCTACTCTTGTCTCCCTTTTTCTTTTCCCTAATGTTTTTCTCTTCCTACATTTCCTGTTAAGATAAATGTCTGCTGTTCCTCTTTCCCTGTAATTTTATTCTATCTCTTACTTGCTTTTTGTCTTTTTTTTTTTAAATCTTTCACCTTGATGACTCCTGCTTATCCACGACCCTTAAACTTGAGTCCTACTCCTTTTCTTTCTCCAGCTCATGCCTTCTGGAATATCAAGCATAGTCTAATGCCTCCAAATGTCCCTTTGCTTCAAGTAGCTAACAACTATATAGCATTTGCAATTGGAGCACTAGACACCATTCTAAAGGCCTTTTATGTAATTAACTCATTAACCTTTTCCACAGCCCTTTAAGATAGATACTATTATTGTCTCCATTCTACAGATGAGAAAATAGAGAGATAGGGAGGTTACAAAATGTGCCCAAGAACCCAGAGCCATGATTTAAGCCATGATAGTGGGCTCCCGAGTCTGTGCCTTTAACCATTACCCCTTGCTGTGACCAGTGGAGGCCAAGGTCAGCTATCCAAGGGGTGTTTTCTAAATTTATCAGAGTGTGAATGTGCACGTGTGTTGTAATGTATGTGTGTGTGCACGTGTGCAATTTGGAAGAGAGATGGGGAAGGGAGAAACAGCATTGGAGCTGACAGCAGAGAAAGAAAAGGATATGAGAAAAAGAAGGATGACAGTCTTTTGTCAATGAATGAGTCAGTCGGCATTTAGCTCCAAATTTATTGATTTAATTCCTATTTAATTGTTATAATTTCATATAGAGGGGCAGATGGAAGTACAGTTTAGAAAAGGCTAATAGTGACCAGTTGGTCACCATTTCCACTGAGCAAACCAAGCCAAATTCTAATGTGAAGGCTCAGGTTAGTAATAGGAAAAGTTCACTTGTGGTGAGGTTAGAAAAGGGAAAAGAAAAAATTCCTGGTCTCACAAAGGAACAGAAGACAGATACCCTCTTTGGGTGTGTTTAAAAATAGGTTGAGTCTTATCTTTTTAGGAAGGTTTAATGCCATCCTAAAAAGAAAACCAAGGAGATACAAGATGAGCTCAAAGCCTCTTTGAGCCTATAATTAAAGAATGTTGTGATGCCTTGCTTTCAATTAAAGATACCCATCTTTCTCCTTTTAATAGGCGAGGGAGAAGCAGCTTCCATTGCCTTTCTTTGGTTAAGTAGGGAAATCATTACCTATAGAGACTCTAATGAAAGGGAACACTTATCCCAGTTCTCACCTCCCTCCCCTCAACCCAACTAAGTATTCTAAGCCCTACACTCATATTCATCTAGTGACTTTGGAAAGTCTTATCATGTTTGCTTGCAAAGTCTTGGATTTCCAATAGAAACAGAACTCTCCTGAGAGGATTAGTTTCCAAGAGAAGAGAGGCTTTCTGCCTCTTTTGGGTTTTTGCAAGCCCTTCCGCTGTCCTAGAGGGATGAGATGACTAGGGTGTTTGGGACCCTGGGTCTGATTCAAACTAACTGTGCAGCTTTCATGGCCTCAGAGGCTCCAGATCTGCCCAGGGTTGTGGAGCCTCCTGCCTGTACTGCTGTGAAAACATCCCATCAGATGGGCAGATGCCTTTTGTTATTATTAAATATTTTTATTGATATCAGAGAGGGGGGGGAGGGAGAGAGATAGAAACATCAATGATGTGAGAGAATCATTGATCGGCTGCATACTGCATGCCCCATACTAGGGACCAAGGCCACAACCCAGGGTGTGTCCTGACTGGGAATTGAACCATGACCTCCTGGTTCATAGGTCGACACTCAACCACTGAGCCACGCCAGACGGGCAGCAAATGCCTTTCTTAATCACCTCTTTTTGGCGTGGTGGACAAGAATTTACACACAGTCTACATCATTTTCACCCAAAAGAGGAATGTACCCCATTAAGTGGAGTCTATAAAAATCTAAAAGAACATTTTGGGTTGATGCTAAAATCCAGGTGGGATGCAGAGTGAGGGCTGGACAGAGCAGGATGATAGATCAGGGATGTGTGAAAGCTCCCCTTGGAACCCCTTTTCTGGGTATGCAGACTGCTTCCAGGCGGGGAGGTTAGTGTTGTCGGGCACACCACCAAAAGAAGGCCACCTCATAGAAGGTTCTCAAGAGGAAGGGAGAACCAGCTGCTACTCAGCAGAAGTCAAATCTGACTTTAAAATATTGATAATGCTATTTGCTGAAGATACAAGAGTTAAAAACCCCGAATAGAAGGTTGGGTTTTCCAGTTACAGACAGTTACCAGGAACAGTACAAGTATCCCTGTTTAATTTTTCAAAGAGCTTAAGTCTTTGTAGACTACAAACTAATGTGTTTTTATGGTGGTAAACATATACACGAATCACATTTTACATTTATGTAACACTGCTCAAGACATTGATACACTTAGTGTTTGCACAGCAAGTTAAGTACAGGAAATGAGTTTCACTGCTGAAATCAGTGTGTTTTTGTATTTATGTGATCATCACAAGCACTCACTTGGATGGTCCTGAACTTACCATATGCTCAGAGCTTCTGGAGTTTTTATCTACAAGAGAC